GCCTCTTCCCCCTCCTCCTCTTCCCTTCTCCCTCCTCTCCCCCCTCCTCCCTCCTCTTTCTCTCCTCTTCCTTGCCTTTTTCGTGGGAGAGGGAGGGGGCGAGGGTGGTCTATTCTGTTCTAACCCCGTGCGGGCGGAGCGGCGGGGGGGCCTCCGAGGAGGCAGAGGCAGACCCAGACCGGGGCTGTAGCTGAGGGGTGTCTTGACGACTGCGTGGGCCGTTTTTCGCCTGGATGCGGCGATGCAGCAGAGGAGGAGCGAAGGCAGAACCGAGGGAAGACGACGCCAAGCGCAACACGAGAATGCCAAGCACTGCTTCGCTGGAGCCCTGGCCCATACCGCTGCCCTTCCCTTTTTGTCCCCCCTCTCGGGCCTCCCGGGAGGCCCTCGTTGCCGCCGCTGGATTCGCTTCGAGATCCTGGTCAGGCCGCGCACTGGGAGAGGTCCGGGGAGTAGCGGTACTTATCGGTACTTCTTGATCGCACCAGGGCCGGCCAGCTCAAGTCTGCAGGAAGGAATCGGCGACGAGCGCGGGGGGGAAGTGAGGACGGGCGCGCCTTTTCTTAAGTCGGGCATGTCCCTGTACAGGAGAAATATTCAAACATAGTTCAACAAACATCTGGGGGCAATGTTTTAGAATGGTTTGGTCATTTTGTAGCATTTGTTGATTTTGCATTGTTCATCGAAAATCCCCTGTGAGGGGACATGCCCGACCTAAGCCTTCTCAGAAGGCTCGGATGTCCCCAAGCCTTTTGAGAAGTTTACCTAGCCTCCAGAAGACGCACAACAAACACCTTCATGAAAAGCGCGAGGACTTCTGAGAAGCTCCGCCGCCTCCTGAGAGGGCCTTCTCCTTCTCACTTCCCCCCTTCGCTCGCCGACGAAGGGAGCCGGTCTTTGATTCGAGGTGCCCTTGGCCCAAGGTGCCCCCCCAGCTTAGCTTGTCGCTCCATGCTGGAGCCACCAGGGCCCCCTTGGGCCTCGTGAGCGGTTGCTCTTGGAACTCTTGGGGGCATTTTGTCGGGCCATGGGCATTTCTTTCTGGTTGACCCAAAAGGGTCCAGCGATAAGCGTGTTGTGCCATACCTACATACTCACATATATACATATGTATGTGTTTGTATGTGTGTATATATATATATATGTGTGTACAAACAGATACATACATATATTTATGCATATATTATGTATAGAAGTACAAAATAAATGTGTATCATATACATATATACACAAACATACGTATCGGAGTAGGCCAGGCCGGGGGGGCGGGCCGCTGCCTGTAACCCCCCATGGGCGCTCTCCGGGGCCTCTGGGGGTCCCAGAGCTCACGAGACGGCCCGGACCCGTCCCGAAGCAGGCCACGACAGGCTATGGGGGTTCCATGAGAGCCCAAGACGGTCCCAAGAGGCCCCAAAGACGCCCAAAATGCCCTCAAGGCGGCCGACGAGGACTCCAACGCGCTTCAGGACGGACTCAAGAGGCTCCCCAAGAAGGCCCTGGGAGGCAACATTCGTTAAATGTACAAAGTCTTTGAACAATTTTGGCGTTCTCGGTTTTCTCGCTTCCCAGCGCTCCCTCACGGCCTCGGAGGTTCTTCAGATCGCCCCAAGACGGCCCACGAGGCCCCGATGAGGGCCCCAAGACGGCCCAGGAGGCTCCCCAGTCAACCCAAGTGTGCCCCAAAAGCGCCCCAAGAGGGGCCCAGATGGGGACCGCGATTCGATATTTCGAGGTCTCTGGCCCTAGAGGCCCCCAGTAGGCCCCCGGAGGCACCAAAGGGTCTCCCACGAAGCCCCGTGAGGCCCCCAAGATGCCCCCAGGAATCCCCAAGAGGACCCCAAGGGGCCCCCAGGGAACGCACAAGAGGCCCCCCAACACACCCTAACAATTGATGTCCGCAGAAAGCCTTCTGGGGACATGTTCATCATGGGCCCGAGAGTCTCCAGAGGCTCTGAAGTACCATCGCGCTACCGGAGAGCTGTCTGGAAAGTTGACTGGGAACATGATTGATCGCCTTCTCGCGGCCCTCAGCGGATCATTTCGCACACAGTTGCCCCAGTGCGTTCTCGAACCGGCGACGACGACGACGACGAAGACGACGAATCGACGAAGACGATGACGAGGACGACGACGACGGCGGCCCAGGAGGCGACGACGACATTACGACGACGGCGACGACGACTGCACGCCCCAACAGGCTCCCCAAGACGCCCCAAAAACCCATGTTCCCAGAAGGTCTTCTGGGAACCCGATTCATCCATCAGACCTCGGTCCCCCTACGCAACTATCTTCCCCGGAAGCCTCCGGAAAACGGATCGACATGTATGGATTTCTCACTGCCCATAATGCGTTCAGCGTTATGGGTATTTCTCTCTTCCCGTCAAACCATATGAAGTCAATTACTTCAGCGGAGCAGAGAACTCGTCAAGGCCTGGGGCCTGCTAGAACCTGAGCGCTCGCGAAACGCACGCGATATTTCTAGTATTTCTATACATATATACACGAAAAGTGGTGCACAATCGATTTGTGGGGTTGCAACATATCAGGGGCGTGCAGTACATTCCGCCGCGCACATGTATTGCTGGACTGTCGAGTGCAATACACTTATTGCAATAAAATGCAATACCATTTTCTGTCACAGTACATTTGCAATACAATTGCCCCAAATCCATTGCACCACCTCCTCTCAGCTGGAACCCCTTTGGGGGCACTTCTGTCGGGTATAGCCATGACCCCAGTGAAGGGGAGCCGGCTAGTGATTGGCCCGAAGCCCCAGACACGGGCCAGAATCACGAAGCAAGGTTTGCCGTAGTTGGTGCGGCAATTCGGGTTGGTGGAATGGGACGGGGGGGCGCCCCCCCGTACGCACCACCAAACCAGGCCCCTCCAATCTACGAGCCCAGTCCTGCCAGCGCCCGATCCTAGCAACACGCGGTCGAGGGAAAGGGCCCCCGGACCCCCCATGCGCTGGGTTCGGCCCCTTCGGGGCCCTCCGCGGGTCCCCCGAAGGGGGCCTGCGGAGGAGCGGCGCGGGACGAAGGGCAAGAGAGAGAGCGGGGGCCCGGGAGGCGCGCCAGGGGTCCAGGGCCTGCTTCCTGGACGAGCGAGCAGCACACGCACTCCCGGTCGGCGGCGGGCGAGGGGGGGAGGGGAGCGACGAGGAGAAGGCCTGCTAAGGAGGCGGCGGGGCTTCTCGGCAGCCCTCGCGTTTTTTCGGAGAGTGCTCCTTGTCTTCGGGGAGGGCTCCGGACATTTCTCAGGAGGCCTGGGGACTTTCGAGCCTTCTGAGAATGCCCGCCCCTTCTCACTTCCCCGCGAGGCTCGCCGCCGACATACACGCCGGCCGTTGAAAGAAGTTATTTATGGATGCCCAGATCTGTATTCATTCTGGACGCACCACTAGAAGGGTCGGAGATGGCTATGGTATGGGCGTGTGTTGGCGGATGGGCGTGCCCGCTGGAACGGAAGCGTCCCCGGGGTCCGACAACCTGCGCCCATACCCATAGCCAGTCCTCCTCCAAACGGTCCCCTATGGGTATGGGTGTGTGTTGTTCAAGTATCATTGGCCTCAGGACCCCCTTTCTTTGTGGCGAGCATGTCTCCAATCGACTTGCGGGGATCGGTCCAGACGGATCGATGTAAATCGAGGTGCATCCCCAGACATGAAGGTAGGTAAATCCAGATACGTCGAGGTACATCCACGGACTCCCAATATGCGGGTAGATCTGGAGAAATCGTGGAAACTCCAGCGATAGTCGAGGGACAGCAGAAGTCGTTAAGCATTGAAAGAGGCTCGGGGGGGAATGGGTTACTGGACGTGTTCGTCGGTTCCCGAATGATTTTTCTGCCACGGGGTGCGCTTTAGCAGCCACGCCTCGCCGAGAGGCGTCCGCAGGTGTCTGGCTCATCCCGAGCGGCCGCCAGAGACCTGAGTCATGGCCCGACAGCCGGACGACGAGTCTCAGGGGGGGAGCGCGTCGACTCCAAATCGCCCAGCCCACGCGGGCGAAGACGGGTCCGTGTGCGCGGCTTCGCCGGGCGGGCCTCTGGGCCGCGACCCCGCGGGAGCGGAGCGTTTTCTCGTGGATGTCCCTCGCAGACCTCATCGGTGCGACCGCGCATCCGCGGGATCGTCCCCAGGAATCCAGACCACGAGGGCGCGGGTACGGATGTGTTCGCTGATCTTGCGCTCCAGTCGCCGACGGGGGATTTTGACCCCCCCCCCACACCCCGCCCAGGAACGTGTGGTCTGGTTGTGAGGAGCTCGTCGCCGATCGATCATAGTCAGACATCATTAATCGTCGATTCCCGGGAAGATGTGGGAAACTATGGGAAGTGTGAGGGGGGAAGACGAAAGCCCAGAAAGTATTTGGAAATATTTGGGTTCTTGGGATTTGTGTTCATTTGTTCGTGTGTACCATGGCCCCTTTAGATAGGTATGTAAAGTATAGGCCGGCAGGTGCCCCGCGTAAGTGTCTTATCCCTCGATGGCCTCGGGGTGCCCCCCAAAAGCTCTGGCGCACCTCGGGGCCCTCCAGCATAGTCGAATCATGTGCTTCATTGTTTCTTGCAGCAGGAATTATTATCGTATGCGTGTTATGTGTCGTCGAAGCATTTCACCGAGAATAGAATATATCCTAATTCTAATAGCACAGTGAAGACGTGGCCTCACGTAGGTCCCCGTCTTTGCATTCAGAATAATAGGTCTGAGCGGTTTAGTTCGAGACATCTGCAGAACAAAAAGACACTCTGTCCCTAGTTTTCCTGCTCTTCTAACTTAGGCCCCCTCCCAAAGGGTTAGGGGTCCTTCAATTGCTAATCAATTATCGCCGACTCCAGGTCGTTTGTGGTGTCCTATGAAGAGGGAGCTGGGGGGAGGGCTTATTCCAACCTCGTTGGTGACTCGTGGGTTTACACTGGACCTCCTCCTCCTCCTCCTCCTCCTCCTCCTCCTAATCACTCTCCCCCTGAGCCAGGCCCCCCTCGCCCCCCCTCGCCAGGGTACAGGCGGCGGCGCAGGCCCGCAGGCCGCTGTCCAGGACCCGAGCGGCTTCGACATGGCGTCCGCGATTTCGATCCAACCGATCCGATTCCATGATCGATTCCGGCCAGCTCGATGCGACTCGCTTCTTCGACGACGAAAATCAGCATGAGCATCAGTTTTTCGGAAGTCCTTCTTGGATTTGCGCTGGCCCGTCAGCAGGCGGCTGCGGCGCCGCCCTTGGCGCGCTCCGGGCGCCTGGAAGAGAAGTTCAGCGCAGACGTAAGAGATGCGCGCGGAGTTCTGACAGTTTCTGTTTGTGCAGCCTTTGTCCATCTAACTCTGAAGTTTGGACGATCCGATTCAGCCCCACTGACTTGGCGCTGCTGTGCACCCTTGCGCGGCCGATGCCGATTCGATCTCGGCTCCATGCCGGAGCAGCCCGAACCGACGCACATTCCGATCCAACCCTTTCCGATTCGATCTGCCAGGACGCGAGCGGCTTCGACGTGGCGTTCGTGCCGATGGCAGCTGGCATCCCGTCAGCGCCGCTAGCGCACAGCCAGACTGCGGGAGTGTCGAACACGGTCTTCGGCGGCGGGCGTCGGGGGGAAGGGAGAAGGAGGGCCTTCTCAGAAGGCGGCGGGGCTTCTTAGAAGCCCTCCAGCCTTCGGAGAGATGTTCTGTGTCTTCGGGAGAGGCTTCGAAGGCTCCTCAGAAGGCCCCGGGGCTTCCGAGCCTTCTGAGCAGGCCCGCTCCTCCTCGCTTCCCTCCCGGGCTCGCCGCCGAGGTCTGCATCTCCAACACACCGGGCCAGTTGAACACGGGGATGCAGGCCGCGCGGGATTTGGCCCAGCTGGGGGAAATCGCCCGAATCGACTTCGGTCTCGCAAGCATCAGGGATATGCTGGTCACGTACTTCGACGTGCGGGATGCCCAGACGGCACTGCTGCGCCTGGCTTCCTGCGCCGCGCCGTTCCCGCAGGCGGCGCAGGACTCTCGGGTCGTCTTGGTGGATGTGGATGGCTTCTGCGCGAAGACGGGCCGCACAGCAGGATTCCAGGACTTTGGAGAGGTTCGGAGAAGGAGAGGGTACCCATACCTCTACCCTTCGCCCGTTTTCCCTGTTCGGGCCTCCTGGGCCTCCCTCGCCGTCACCGCTGGATTCGCCTCGAAATCCTGGTCAGAACGCACGCCGGGAGGGGTCCAGGGGGTACGTAGCGGTATGGGTACCTTTTGATTTCCCTAGAGGTGGCCAACGTCGACGTTGTTGCGGGGCAGCTGGTCGTCGAGTTCTACGACCTTCGCTCTGCACAGGCGCTCTTGGCGGCAGCAGGTGACTGTGCCACCCTGGTGCCCAGCAGCGCCTTTGCACCGCCCGCTCCCGTGGTGGCCCCCGTGAAAGCTGACCCCATTGGCGTCGGCAGCGCCGCAGACGGTGCTGCACAGCAGGCCTCAGAGGAGGGAAACCGAGGAACAGACACGTGATGACATGAGCATCCACGTTCGGAGTTGCGCGCTGTTTCCTTGGATCTGTCTGGACCCCCCGCCGTGGCGCGTGGAGCGCGCGCCATGGGGCGGTGCTGGAGGCGCCGCCAGGGGGCTCCAGCGCCGATCCGAGGAATCCGCGCGGACATCCGCAGGTCTATGTTTCTGTCAGCACCTGCTTCCCAAGGAAAGATACGGATACCGCTGCCCTTTCCTTGTCGCCACGGCTGGATTTGCCTTAATGTCGTTTTCAGAGCGCACCCGGGAGAAGCGGTATCGATATCTTCTTTCCCTCCCTCGAGGTCAGCGACGAGACCAAGCACCGCACCGCGCAGACAAAGGTCGCCCACTTGTTTACGTCGCAGCGCGGCAGAGGCAATCCCTTGCGCGCTCTAGTGGATCGGGCTACGTCACGGCGCTAATTGTCCGTCTGCACAGTAAGAGTGACCATTCGCCAGAGTGACCTTTGGTGCTGGCCCCGAGGGGGTCGGCTGATTTTCTTTTGGGATGAGCTTGACCTTGCGTCGGCACCCGTATCGCGTGATTGCGCTCGCATCTGAGCGCGCCAGGTTTGGCCCCCCCCTCTTCAATCGACAGCAACGCATACGCGGCGCACCCCAGCATTGGTTTCCCGAGGAGGGTCTGTCGACCAGACGGAGCGTTTCCCGCCTCAGGACCAGTCCTACTCTACTACCAAATCTAAGTCGCCCGGTTTGAATCTGTTTTTATACTTGGAATATTTTTGATTGGCGTCACCCCAACATACTTATACATACTAGATGTGCGTCGCCCCCTCTAATTCTAATACCATACTTATACGACTAGAATAATCATACAGTGCCGAGGATCCGGAGGGCGAGGAGGAAGGGAAATGGAGAACAGGGGGAGAAAGGAGTCTCAAAACGGAATCCCTCCCCTTCATTTCTTTTTGAATCGTTTGAAGGCCGGCGCGCCCCGCCCCCCCAGTCCTTGTGCTGCCGCCTCTGTGGCCGATCCTTGAGGCCAGACCTGCCAAGCCATCGGACCATGTGTTCCCCGAATCGGTTTGGAAAGCCTTCGGGGAACACATGGGCATCTTGAAGGTCATCTTGGCCGTCTTGGAGGCCTCTTGGGCGATCTTTTGGCGATCTTTGGGGGCCCTTGGGCCGTCTCGGGCCGTCGGAAGGCCGAAAAGAAGGAAATGTCAAAATCCGTCAAATACCCTAGGAACATACATTTTTTTAGCCTCTTCTGGCCTTCCTGGAAGCCTTCTTGGGAGCCTCTTGGGCCGTCTTGTCCAGCTTTGAGCCAACTGCGGCCATCTTGGTGTCTTTTGGGGGGCGGCTGGCGGGACGGGCCGAAGCGCCAGGGGGAGTTCTTTTGGAAAAAGAACCAACACCAAAACCGAAAAGATCCAGCACGCTAGGCACCCCTGCGATGAATCGACAGGGGGCGGCGGATCGAAGACGCCTACGGCGAATCACCGCCGCCCCCTGCCTTTTTGGAAGCGCCTATGTGGCCGAACGTTGAGGCCAGACCTGCCAAGCCATCGGACCATGTGTTCCCCGAATCGGTTTGGAAAGCCTTCGGGGAACACGTGGGCATCTTGAAGGTCATCTTGGCCGTCTTGGAGGCCTCTTGGGCGATCTTTCGGCCATCTTTGGGGGCTCTTGGGCTGTCTCGGGCCGTCGGAAGGCCAAAAAGAAGGAAATGTCAAAATCCGTCAAAAACCTCAGGAACACCAATATTTTTGGCCTCTTCTGGCCTTCCCGGAGGCCCTCTTGGGGGCCTCTTGGGCCGTCTTGGGCCAGCTTCGAGCCAACTTCGGCCATCTTGGTGGGTTCCTGGCACGTCTGACGCCGTCGGGAGCCGTCTTGGGGGCCTTTCTGGGCAAACGGGGGACCCTTTTGGGGCGCTTCGGGGCCGTCTTGGAGGCCATCTTGGGCGTCTTGAAGGCCATCTTGGGCGTGTTGGAGGCCTCTTGGGCCGTCTTGGGGCCCTCTTGGGGCCATCTTGGAGGCCACTTGGGCCGTCATGGGGCCCTCTTGGGCGATCTTGGGACGACTTTGGGTGCCCCTTGGGCCGTCTTGAGCCGTCGGAAAGCCGAAAATGCGCAAATGCCAGTCCTCCAAAACTTGGGGAATCCCGGAGGTTTTGGCCTCTTCGGGCCTTCCTGGATGACCTCTTGGAGGCCTCTTTGGCCCGTCTTGGAGGCCTCTTGGGTTATCTTGGAGGCCTCTTGGGAGCCTCTTGGGCCGTTTTGGGTTGTCTTGAGGCCATCTTAGGCGGTCTTGGGTGCATCTTGGGCCGTCTTGGAGGCATCTTGGGGCCATCTTAGCCGCCTTGGAGGCCATCTTGGCCGTCTTGGAGGCATCTTGGAGGCCATCTTCGGCCATCTTGAGCGAAAACGCCGACGAGATTGGGGAATTGAGCGCCTCCCCGGTGGCCGGCGGGACGGGCCGAAGCCCCAGTGGGAGTTCTTTCGGAAAAAGAACCAAAACCCAAACCGAGAGGGTTCAGCACGCCAGGCACCCCTGCGATGAATCGACAGGGGGCGGCGGATGACGGAAAGCGCGCGTTAGCGTGCGGTCCGTTAGTCCGAAGAAATTGGGCTTGGGGGAGTTCGAGGGGGTTGGCATGACCGGACCCGGATCTAATTGCCCTCCCGCCTCGTTTTTTATCGATTAGGACGGCCTTCGGGGCTTAAAAATAGCGTTTCGCTCGAGACATCATCGGAAAACGCTTTTTGGGCGCTTCTTGGGCCGTCTTATGCGCCTGAGACAGCCCAAGAAGCGGCCAAGACGGCGCCCAAGACGGCCCAAGACGGCCCAAGAAGCGCCCAAGATGGCCCAAGAGCGCTCCAAGAGAGCCCAAGACCGCCCAAGGCGGCCCCAAGACGTCCCAAGAGGCCTCCACGACGCCCCAGGAGGCGCCCACGAGGCGTCCCAAGAGGGCCCCAAGAGGCCAAAATCATTGATTTCCTGAAGGAAAACGTACATTTTTAGCATATACGACTTTTCGCCTTTCATGGCGTTGAAGACGGTCCAAGAGGCCCCCAAGACCGCCCCAAGACGGCCCAAGATGTTCCCAAGAGGCCCCCCAAATAGCCCAAGAGGGCGCCAAGACGGGCCAAGAGGCGTCCAAGACTGTCCAAGAGGTCCCCTAGAGCGCCCCAAGAAGGCCCAAGAGGTTCCCAATAAGGCCCCACAACGGCCCAAGAGGGCGCCAAGACGGCCCAAGAGGCGCCAAGACGGCCCAAGACGGCGCCAGGACGGCCCCAAGAAGGCCCCACAAGGCCCCCAAGAGAGCCCAAAGACGGCCAAAGGCAGCCTAGTCCCTTCACCCCCGCAGCCCAGAAGCTCCCAGGAGGCCCCAAGAGGCTCCGAGAAGCCCCAAAAGGTCTCCAAGAGGCACCCAAGAGGCTCCCCAAAAGCCCCCCAAGAAGCCCAAAATACTCCCAAAGGCTCTTAGCACCGCGGCTCCCAAGAGCGAGCGGTGACGTAATCGAGCTGGTAAGACCAAAGCTCCCAACAGAGAGCTGCGGCGTGATAAGTTCTTGCAGCCAGGGCACAGGGACGGGCGGCAACGCGTGGACAACGAGCGGTCCACGCAAGGACAACGCGGGGTTCTGGAAAGCTGGCAGCCCAAACGCGGAAAACGCAACGCGACCCCACCGCCCCCTCCAAAACAAGAAACGCGCTCAAAGAAAGCTCCGCGACTCTCCGAGGCTGAGATAGGATAAGAGCGAGGGGAAGGGAGTCAATAAGAGGTGTAAGAGCGGAAGAGCCAGCGATCCCGTGCGCTCTGAAAGTAAGTGCGCTTTCCGTCCCCGTGCCAAGCAGGTCTAATGGCCTTCGGCCCATCCCGCCACCGCGCCTGCGTTGTGGGTCATAGTCTTTTGGGATGTTCGTTGGGATGTCCGGGGAGGCCTCTCGGGGGCCTCTTGGGGGCTGTTTCGAAACCTTTTGGGGGCCGTTTTGGGACCTCGTGGGACGGCTTCGGGGCATCTTGCGGGTCTCTTGGGGCCTCTTGGGGGCGTGTTGGGCTTCCTTGGGGCCTCTTGGGGGCCTCTTCTGAAGGCTAGAATTTTCAGTTCGTGCTCCCCCTTTTGGGCCCTTCTTGGGGCTATCTTTGGGTCCTGTTGGGCCGTCTTGGGTGCCTCTGGGGCTGTCTTGGGGCCCTCTTGGGCCGTGTTGGGGCCATCCTGGGGGCCTCTTGGGTCATGTGGGGGCCCTCCTGGGGGCCCCTTGGGCCGTCTTTGGGGGGTCCTGGCGTCGGAAGTTCCCTCCTGGCCTGTCTTGGGGACCTCTTGGGCCCGCAGATATTTTGTTCCAGCGCGCGGGGGAGCCCATGTGGGCACGCTGGGAGCCCCGCCAACTTTTGGAATTTTGAGCCCGGGCTGTTCAAATGTTCTTGAGGACTGAGGGCTGAGGCTTAAGGGATTTGGCAAAGGACCTGGGAACACGCCCACTCCGTGCACAGAGGCACGGCGGCGGATATTAGGGCATCTTGGTTCATTTTGGAGCCGTCTTGTCCATCAGATCTCCCAATGATGTCCTCCAGGGAATACAGTTACTCAACTGTCTGAGGTTCTTCCGTGATCTCGTTCGTACAATTGGAGCTGCGTTCGGCCCCAGGAGATTCTCATGCTTTCTTGGGCGCCTCTTGGGACTGTCTCTCTCTCTCTCTATTTCGAGCGATTTTCAACCGTTCTGAGCCCCTCAGGAGCCCATTGGAAGTGACAAAGACGAGAAAACCAACGACACTTAGCAGCATCCGCCGTTTTTCAATGTTTTTTCGGTCTTTCTCGGGGGCATCCTTGAGAGGCTCCGTGGCCACCCGGGGCCGCCGTCGTGGAACCTCTTGGAGCCCTTCTCGTGACCTTGGTGGTGGCGCCCCTGTTCTTATCCGGGCAGGAGCGATTGGTCCATTTCAGGCGGGCAGCGCTCACGCGCAAAAAGACGCTGCCCCGCGCTTGAGCGCGGCGCAGGGCGAAAATGGTCTGTGACCTGCGAGGAGCGCCTGTCGTCCTTGGCTGGTGTGCTTTTCCCGGCCTGGGCAGCCTGTCAAGAGCGAGTGGCGACCCTTCGGGAGCTCATAGAGGGGGGGGGGTCTCCCAAAGTGGGGTTAGGGAGCGAGCCCAATCGGATGCTCACGTTTCCTTTCTTCCAGGAGCCGTTTAGATCGATGTTCCTCCCAACCCCACCTCTTCCCCAAATTACCACATCTTTACGTCTCCCCCAGACCTCTTCAACATCGGACTGCCAGCGCGCGACATCATCTGCCGAGCGTCGGGAGAGTCTCCATAGGTTCGGCTACTGTCTCAGTCGCGTGTAGCCAGCGGAGACTCTAGTGTGTCGTG